AGAGTAGCGTCATCAACTACAATCTGATCCAGATGCTTGGTGACATGAAAGTGTTCATCAGGTGTCAGATCTAGTTTGGGAGAGCAAAACAAACATAGGAGTGGAAACCTACCTATGGGCGATTTGTGAATGCTGACGAGTCTTAAACATAATGCATCTCTTCTTTTCCAGGGCCAGAGTGGAAACCTACTGGTCAGGGTTGAGAGAGATAGTTGTCTATGATCACGACAGTGGCGTATTCATACGTCCGTGACTCCAGTTCGAAAAGTTTAAGCTTAGATAACTCTCTAGCAATGTTTTGAATCGTTCGTACCCCTGAGAAAACTTCTTGTACTTACACTCCTTGTACATGATAAAGACATGGTTGGTGCGGCCATTGTGGGTCGTGGCTCGGTTGAATTGCCACGGTCTACCGAGTAATAGGTGTCCGGCTTGCATGGGCACCACATCACAAGTGACTTGATCATGTTATTTGCCGATACTAAACGGTATGGACACTTGCTCGGTGATGTTGAGCTTGGTCTGGTCGTTTAACCACCTTAACTTATAAGGACGAGGATGCTTTGTCTTCTCAAGACCTAACCTGTCCACCATATACTTGCTAGCCACGTTAGTACATGAACCACCATCTATGATAAGGTTACATACCTTGTTCTTGATGGTGCATCTAGTATTAAATATGTTCTCTCTTTGGGCTGTTTCCTCAGGGTGAACTAGGACGCTTAGCACTCGGCGAGTCACTAAGAGTTCACCAGTATCTGGATACTCAACCTCCTCCTCCAAGTCGTTAGAGTCATCTTCTTGTTCATCTTGCGATTCATAGTCACTACTAGGGGTAATGATCATGACTCGCTGATTTGGGCACTCCCTTGACATGTGACATCTAAAACAAGTTATATCACGAGTTCTTGATGTGGGATTAGAGGACTTACCTTGTTCGGCTCGGTAACTAGTATCATGGCCGAAGGCTTCCTCCGATTCTTCCAACTCCAACGAGTTCATCAGCTTCTCAAACTCCTCAAAATATTCATCTACGCTTCTGTTTCCCTGAGACAATATGATAGTGTTCAGGTACATACCTAAGTCGTAGGAGGAATTTCATGTCGCTCCAAGTGACGACTGGTCCAAAGCGTTGCCTCCTTCTCTCGGCTACGTTTCTGTCCCACCACGCTAAGGCATTGTCAGTGAGTTGTGCAGCCGCAACAGCCACCTTCTTGCGTTCAGCGTAGCCATATCACTCAAAGATGTGCTCTAGTCGCCTCTCCCAATCCAAGTATGCCTCGGGTCTGACTTTCCTGCAAAAGTAGGAGGTGTTAGCTTGAGATATGAGTTTGCTCTCGGGTATCTTCTACCCTAGCTGGATTTCTCCTTAGAGGATCCGGCCTCCTCTGCTATCGATGCTGAAGAGGATCAGGTGGAAATTCATCCTCTAGTTCGGGCATCTCTTCATCATCACTCGCGTCACCGGCTTGCACTTGTGCTCCTCGAACTGGGGCTCTCCTTGGTTGTGCCTCAACTCAATCTATTCTGGCTCCAAGTTCTTGCCGAATGTTTCCCATTTGTTGAGTCATGTTCCTCAACTCCTCCCTCATTGCGGTCATCATTTGGACAAGAGCATCGTTTGGAACAGGTTCTCCTTCGGCCATGATACTAGTTAGCCTCACTTGGTGTCCTTGTACTCAACTAAAACAACAACTAGTCAAAAGTACCACCGAATAATAAGGGTATCAAAACGCTAGACTATTTGACTCGCTACTTAAATGAAACTAAATAACTTTTTATATGGTTTTCAAATTGTAGTATGCAAAGAACAAGGATTAACGGTCTAAAAATCTAGCAATGCAACAGATTCCTTTCTTTTTTTTTTGACTAATGAATACGAAAACAAGCAATTAAATTTTTCTAGGGTTTTTGGTTTTATGAATCAAAATAAGCTAAACGAGTATGAATAAAAATGAAAGAGTGTAAGGATAGAAAACCGAAGGCAGGAACCTTTGGCTCTGATACCAAAATGATATAAGGCTCGGGTGAGGCTTATATGATTGTGGAATCGATGGCTTGGTGGGAACAACACGCTGGCTATGACGCTCTCTCGTGTAGTTCAATGGATGAGAATGGTAAGACAAGGCTTGCTTCCACAAGACTTGAATCGAGATGGGATCTGTCAAGCTGGCTTTAACGCTCTCTCTTGAGGGATCGATAAGGGGTTTGGAAGTGGATCGAAGGCACCACAGAGATGATGGAGGATCTCTGATACTGCGGCTTGCCTCTTGGTGAATCTCACACGCAAGAACACAAACAAAGTCTCTCAAGCACAAGCTAAGAGGAAAACGGCGTTATTTTATTGATATCGGGGAAAAAAGGTTGAAGTACAAGAGCTGCATGTGGGACTTTATAAACAGTCCGTCAGCTTTGAACCTTCTAGGGTTCGACTCAAAGAATAAAACGACACTAAGGACTCAAAACAACAGGACTTTTAAAAAAAATAAAGTAAAATGGCAAAGCGTCTCATTTGGACACAAAAATGGAAAGTTTACTTAAAAATAAAAAGGAAAAGAAACTAACCGTGTGCAACCTTTTCTGGACTTGTTCCGTGCACCTCTGATGCCATCTAGGGTGTTAGACACCACTAAGACACTCCCATGTTACCTGCACAAATCGTATAAATGGAAAATACCTGGTTGCGGCCGGCTGTGGGCTTACTTGTTATCTCGTGGATTCGCTCGTTAGCCTTGAGATTTCCTTCGTTAATCTTGATGTTTAGTTCATCTAGGGTCCTGTCCACGTCATGTCCTGCGAGTTCTTCAAGTCTCTTCATGCGTCTCACTTCATGTTCCTCCTTGGGTCTCGTTGGCTCGCTAGCGGCTCCGAGTCTTGAAACGGTTGTATCTTGAGGGTCCAATGCGGCCTCTTCGAGATTCTTGGTGTTCTGTGCTCCATTTCCTGCCAAGTAAACATGTATACCTGATTCTAGTTGAGGCTGGCTCTCTTTGAGGCTCAGACGCGCGAAACCCTCCATTATGTCTAAGTCGGGTCCTTTGGGACTGTCTCGCGTGTATTGTTCTTGAGGCTCGATTTTGAATGCATCTCCAAGTTCCATGGTACTTAGTAATGATTCCACGGCCAAGTTGAACCCTTCTCTAAGCCTCCTTGCCTTGGAGCGGGTCATTGGTGCTTCTTTGAGCTCGGGAACGACCTTTGGGTCTGGTGATGGTTCGATGGCCTCATCACTAGTGCTTGTTTTAATTCGAATTTAAACCGTCTTTAGTTTGCTTTTACTTGTCGTTAAAGTTACAAACAAATCATCTTTTGTTTTAGCTTTATTTCAGTCCTCGTAGAGTCATATAGTAACACTGGTCCTCTGGATCTCAAATCCTTTATCAATCTCAAAGCTGTTATATTGCAGTATAAACTAGGAGATACATCCAGTTGGAATCAATGATCACATATAGAGGTTTAGCTTTCTCTTTATTTGAATTTGAGTCTTGCTTTGTAGTCTTGCTTGTTTAGTTCTTAATTATTACTTGCTTAGTGTTGTTTTATGTTTTTAGATCACTTTTTTTACCAACCTGTTTCATTAGACTTGGATTAAAATAGTTCCATATAGTCCTGGTGTCTAGAATCTCTCAGTTTGGATTTACCCTCAAGTGCTACAACACAAAAGGTTAACTGATTTTAGTAGGCTAAAAACTTACTATTAATGGCAAAGTAAAGCTTCCTGGTCAGATAACTTCCTTGGTATAGTCTTCTTTTGAATAATGGCACTGCATTCATGACTAAGTACCACCATACCTTGAACTTCCTTTGTCTTCTCAACTATAGCATCCTTAAAAAATTTAGAATATTGTGGCACCAAAAGTAAAGTCTCTATTAATGGCATTTTAATCTCCACCTTTCCATCTGTTTATCAAAGATAGCCCTTGTCTTCTCTAGTAATTGTTTCTTGAACCTGCCAGAAAATGGTAGCTTGGGCTGATATGGTGGTAGCACATAAGGTTTCTCAGGTGCCTTTTCCTTTTCAATAGCCTTTCCTTTGTCTTTCTTCTCAACTTTCTGCTCCACAACTTCATCATCTAATTCAATCTCTATAGGCTCCTCCCCACAAAGTTGCTCATTGTCCTCAATGAGCGCTGGTCTATGTTCTCTTTTAGGCAGCTCCATTCCACTTCTTACGGTGATGGCATGAGCATATTCCTTGGGATTTGGCTCTGGTTTGCCTGGAAGAATACCTTGAGCTCTAGAAGATGATGAAGCTTGGTTCTTCTCAAAAGTCTTCAACTGGTTTTGTAATGCCTCATACTTTGAGTTGAGGTCATGTAAGTTATACTCCACTCTTTGCTGTCCTTGCAGAATCTGTTAGAGAACACCACTAAGATCAAAGCCTTGTTGCTGAGAAGGAGGTTGCTGAACCTGTTGCTGTCCAAAATCAGGAGGATAAGACTTCTTTGGCACATAACTGTCTTGTTGAACAACTCCTTGCCGATTCTGAGCTACTCCTTGCTGAGCATAGGTTTGCGTCCCTTGGTAGTTACCTTGAAACTGATTCTTGTTGATGTAGCCTTGATTGTGACCTTGCTGTAGAGGATAAACTTGATCACCTGGGTTAGCTACATTGGGATTCCTATAAGACAAGTTCTGGTTGTTGAAGTTGTTAAACCTTTGGAACTTGCTTTGGTTCCCAATGTAGTTAAGCTCCTCTTGAGTTATACCTTCTTCTTGTATATTCTCCAAGCATTGTGGCTCATCAAACTCTCCCACATAATATATTGGCTTTTGAGAAGCAATCAATACCTTTTCTAGCTTCGTTTAGACCTTTCTCCTCTGTAAGATCTGTCATAGTCTTCACCATAAGTATCATTGCTTTGAGAAAAATTCTCCACCAAATCCATATCAGAATTAACCTCCTTTGCCAGAAATTTTCCATTAGAAGCTGTGTCAAGTTGATTTCAAATCTTGGGCAATGATCCTCTATATATGTACTCAACAAAGAAGAATCTGAGAAACTATGATGGGGACACTGGTTTGTGTACTCCCTAAATATCTCCCAGGCTTCACTGAAGCTCTCATTATGTTGTTGAGTGAAGGAGGATATCTGGTTCCTTAGCTTGGCAGTCCTTGAAGTGGAGAAAAATTTGTTGAGAAAAGCTCTCTTACATTGATCTCAAGTCATATTGAACCTTGAGGGAGGTTCTTCTCCCACTGCCTTGCTTTATCTCCAAGTGAGAATGGGAAGAGCCTAAGCTTAAAGCCATCTTCTGACACACCATTGATCTTGGTCAGGTTACAAACCCTATCAAATTGATCAATGTGGTTCAAGGGGTCTTGCACTGGCAAACCATGCAATTTGGAGGTCAAAACCATGTTTAGTAGTGAAGCCTTGACCTCAAAGTTGTTGTTTCCAACTGGAGGTGCTTGAATCCCTTGGCGGTTTTGATTAACATTTTCTGTATCATTTTCTCCCACAAAAATAGGATTCCCTTGAGCATAAGCTTGTTGGCGACCAGGGTGGTATGGGTGTGGTGGTTTCTGAGCAGCAGCTTGAGCTTGATGTTTTCTATTCTGTTTCTAATGCCCCTTTCCCTGATGGACCTGATTAACCGCTGGCATTACTACCTCTAGAGCCTGTTGCTCAACCCTTCCTTGCTGATTATCCATACCCACCCTCTCTAGATGCTCTGCCCTCTCTCTTTCTCTTCTAGCACTTCTCTCAAGGAGGTTAATGTTATCTAGGTTAGATTCTGATAGATCACAACTTCTGGTTCTGGTTCTGGTTCTGGCGTTCATGCACCTGAAACTCAAAGACAGCACTTTAAAGGTGATCAGTAAACAAAAGAAAAGTGGCTTGATCTCAAGATCAATTCAAAAACTAATGCTAAACAAAACAAACAATGGCAACGACGCCAAATTGAAATAAGAGTTTTGTGACTCTTTGAGGTTCAATTCCTCTTTGTAGTTGTAGTACAAGAGGTATCAATCCATATGTATGATGTTTTATATACTAATTTGCATGAATCAATTCTTAATCCTAGCCTAACAAAGATCAGGTTTAGTAACAAGTGACACAATCTATTTAGAACAGGATTAAGAACTAAACAAAGAAATAAACAAAAGCAAACGATGATGATGATTTAAAGATGATAAAAACATAGAGTTCCAGACATGATAGTGGATTAGGGTGCCTTTGGTGCTAGACTAAGATGGTAATGCCAATATGATTACTGATTCCAATTGACTTAGGATTCACAACAAGTTCAATTCTTTCTCAAGACAATGAACACAAATCATGACATTACTCATACCCAATCATCAGTCGAGACATAATGCTAAGAAAGCATTAATAATCAAACCTAATATGCCATCTATTCTCCAAACAAGCATTTTCATGTGATCAAAGCAATAAACTCTTGTCTTGGCTCATTCAGGCATTTCATCAAATACCTTTTTAGTGGAAAAATGCCTTGAATCTGGATCAGAGTGATTATAAATGATCCAGCATTAAGAATAGCCAAGCAAAAAGAGGAAAACATAAATCTAGTCCCTAAAAACCTTAATCTAACACCTAAGCACCATAATCTACATATCTAGAACCCTAAGAAAAAGGCTACTCACTAATCATATTTAACTCTCTTAATCCTTTGCAAGATGAGAAGATAAACATAACTAGAGATATAAGAAAGGTAGAAGATGATGATGATAAGATAGATATGATTGAATAAACTCTCAAATTATTTTGATTATAATAGAAAATGGAGATATCTCTCACAAGGTCTTTTCTTTTACAAAAGAGGCAAAGAAGTCTAGAAAATAAAGGATAAGTCTGGTGTAAACAACCCTAAAACACATATATAGCTAGGGTTCAAACTCGGGTCACCCCGGAACAAACCGGGTGTTGACCCAGAGAAATTTCCCAAAAGTAGTAAAACTGCACATTCACATTGAGGTTAATTCTGCCGGTGTGGAAGTCAGTGTTAATGTGTGTGTCTGGTGGTGAAGCTTACTCCGGCCTGAAATCACTCGATGTGGTTCTCGTTGTGAAGTGAAGACTTGGTGTGATGATGATTACATCAAAGTGAATCCTGCCAGTGTACTTCTCGGAGTGGACTCGCAAGGTTTTGAATTGAGGAACACACCTTCAGGTTCAAGCTCAAACTGGAGAAGTGCCCTGAAGCGGAGAGGATTACACCGGGAGGAAGTCTGCCGGAGTACATCTCGTAGAAGACTCGCAAGTAATTGCATCGACTTGAATTCACTCGGTGCCCTCCTCGGTGTGGGCTTTGAAGATAAATGGTCATAAGAACTAGCTCACACCAACCTAAATTCACTTGGTGCGGTCTTCAGTGTAAGCTCTGAAGTGAGACCTCCTTAAAAATATGGCTTACTCCAACCAGAATTCCCATGGTACTCATCTCAGTGTGAAAATGGACCCCTTCGCACTTAAACTGCCATAACTTCTAGCCCAGTGATCCGGTACTCGATTTTCCAGCTCTAATAAATAGGTGAGTAAATCAGCTCCAACTCTAATGACGGGATCTTATGCATCCGGGGAGAGAAAAGCTTCTGGTACAGCAGTTATATGAGGCACATTGCATTGGTCCGCAATGGCTGCGAGACAGATTCATCTTCAATCGGCTGTTTCTTTCAGATCACTTCTCCAAATTTTCTGATTCCATGTGTACGGTAAACTTGAATCTCTCCTCTACAAACAAGGTGAAAACACCAGAGGCTGAATCAAAGTGTAAGGCCTCCATCTCAGGTAATCTTTCAAACGTATTGCCAGGTGAAGAGACTTGTCCGGCCGAGGTCATGCACCAATACAAGGGCTTTCTCCATGCGGCCTAAGCTTCATCAGATCCCCAAATGCCTCCAAAGTACCTAAAAATACTCCAAACATGCAAAACTCTTTAGACAAAATGCATTCTCAATAAAAGCTTAAACAAAGACAAAACTCTAAGAAAAACTACCTATATTAATGCATGGGACTCTATTCCTGGACTAAAAATGCATGCTAAGTATGCAAAGATATGAATATATCACTACTACCTTGATTCGGTCCTCACTTGGGGTGATCTCAAGCAGCATATGTACAGAGAGTTTGTACAGAAGTTCCACAGCCGCGCAGCTACACTCCCAAGAGGTCTATGTTCCAGACAACTACAAAAAGTTGGATGTCAAAACCACAGCTTGTCCCTAAGCACAAGCACGCCTACTGTCCCGAGCCAAAGAAACTGTTTCAAAACATTTTGATGAAAGAAATCAAAGGCTGAAAATCCAGTGGCAACCACAGAAGTTAAACCAAATCCAAACCCACCAATCACAGCTCTCACGAGAAGCACAAAACCGACACTTGAGCCACAAGGCAAAGCAAAGTAAAGTAAGTCTTCTAAAACTCTTAAGATAGATACCACAATCTGTTATATATGTCATCAGATAGGACATTTTTCTAAGACGTTCCCATCTAGAGAACTAAAAACTGCTTCAACAATTGATCAAACAAAAGAAGTAGAGAAAGAGGAGTTGCATTTTAAAGTTTCCAATTCAGATATGATGAGCTTGTCTCTACCAAGGGTTATTGATGCAGGTTTAAATCATGGAGAGCATCACTATGAAGAGATTAGGATGTGCCAGCCTGCCAATGAAAAATATGAAGTTGTCACCAGCTTCACTTCCATCCAAGAACAGCCACTGGATCACATGATGAAAAAATACCATGGCATCTATGGAAATAAAACTTATTGATATTTCTGATCAGGTGTGTAGCACGTTTCTATCATTTATTTATGATGATTCGAAGTGTGTGTTAAAGAATCCGCTATATCCAGAAACATGTGAGAAAAATAAAAAAACTGTGTCTTGTCTTGAACCACAAAACTATGAGCAACTCGTGGTTTCATATAAAGTTAACTAAATGGTCCAACCAAAATTATGTTTCTCTCTCTCACACCGATCTCCACACAGGAAGATACCTGTCTGGAGCTAATAGGGCGGCACGCACTTCAGGAGACTTGAGCGGGTCAAAATCCAATTTTTTCCAGGTTGATACAGTCCGAAAACACATACTATATAACTATTTTGACCTAATGTTCAATGGATCTTTCTTTTATTCTCTCTAGAACTTGCCTCTTTGGCGAAAGAAAGGAGATTGTAAGAGATACCCTTGCTATTATTCAATCTAAGTCTGTTTTTTTCATCTTTCATCTTTTCTTAACCTCTAATCATGCTTAACATCACATCTTGCAAAGGAATTAGTATGTTAAGTATGATTAGTGAGTAGTCTTTGATTAAGCTATGAGTTGATTACACTAAATATCACATTTTGACTTTTTATTACAGAATATATCACTTACAGAATATATATAAGTAAACTATGAAATGGGTATCAAAGTATAGATATAATTGATAGTAAAGTGTGTTACCACTAGGTGTACTTTTGAGTTATCTAATGTTCAAAAAAGGGACTTTTGTATTTTAATTACTAAAAGACATACTTTTCTACTATTTGGAGGAGACAAATGACTGTTTTAACCCTTTTGCTTACTTATCTATATTCTTTTTTTAATTTAATATTATATTAATATCACACACTCTCCATAATTGTTTGTTGTTATTTATCTATTATTTAAAAAGTTATCGAATAATTATTTTGACACTATAAATTATATAATTTTTTTCTTAATACTTTGATACCCATTTTATATTTTTAACTTAAATTGTTTTGTCGTTTAGTGATAAACACATAAGTATCCATATAGTAGCGTCCACTAAACACAAATATATGGATATCTATGCAATTATATAGATACATATATATATATACACATATGTATCCATATAGTAGCATATACGTGAACACACAATATATAGATATATATATATATATATGCATATCCACTTACATAGAGTATAAAAAGATATAACTATATAGATACATATATATATATATATATACATGCATATCCACATGCATATATTATAGATGGATGTAACTATATAAATATATATGTATATTTACATGTGTACCTATATAGTTGCATATATATATGTGGGTCCCGTGCGATTTAATGTGTGAAAACTGATAAATTAAAATAGGTCCTATGCGATTTAGTGTGTAGAAGCTGATGAGTATATTTAAGTGGGTCTCGTACGTGTTGGTAAGGTAAAAGAAAAAGAAGAGTAAAAAGTCCAAAAATGGAGCAAAATAAGATAAATCCACCTGATTCAGAAAGTGCCTTTTTTGGCAATTACACTTTCAAAAAGTGCACCTAGTGGTAATATTCTCTTGATAGTATAAAAATAATTGTTAATTTTTTTTATAAAAAGAAAATAAGCAAAATAAAATATGTAGGATATAAGTTTCGGGAAAAAAGAGGAAAGAGAAGAAAGAAGAAAGAAAATGGTGTTTTTAATGTCGACAAGAGAAAGGGAGACAAAAGAGAGAGACCTTTAATTTTTCTTTTGCTTTATTTTTTTTTTAGATTTTCAGAAAAACTGATTATTGGGTTTAGGGTTGAAAAGGTGCTAGAGTAACACAAAATGATATATTTGTAAATAAAAAGTGTGAAAGTGATATTGAGTGTGAAATTATCTTAAGCTTTTGGGTATGTAGATTAGGGTCTTTAACTGCTAGTTTATGGTGTTTAGGTGCTAGATTCTTGTTTTCCTTTTCTTATTTGGCTGTTATCTATGCTAGATCTTTCATAACCAGGTTGATCTAGACCTAAAACATTTCATGCAACAAAAGAGTTTGATGAAATGCCTGAAAGAGCTATCTAAGAGTTTAATGTTTTTATCACATGGCAATGATTTTTTGACGATTAAATGGCATGTTAGAACTGATTCTTTATGCTTTTTGATCATTGTTGCACTAATTGGAATTAGATATTGCTAATGATGATTTAAGAATGTGATTAATATATTCAGAAAGAATTGGTCTTGTTTAAAAGTTCTATATTAAATGAAAATATATTTTTGAATGATTTAGCGTCATATACTAGTATTGAAAGCATCATAATCAATTATCACACTTTGAATCTTAGCTTTTATATCTTTGAGGTAATCTGTGTTTAAGTTGTTAGTTTGTTTTTGTTTAATCATTGTCTTTGCTTGTTAATCTCATTCCATTTGCTTAGCCTTAATTACTTGTCATTAGTTATCCCAACATTCACCTTGTTTCACTAAGATTAGAGAAAGTTTCATTTAGGTTTAGTATCTAAATAATCACATTTAGATTGACACCTTAACGCTGCAATGATATGAACAAGTTAAGGAAATGAATTGAGAAATATCCTTTATCAATTTTCTTTTGTTCTTTGTGAAGAATCTCGATTGTTTGGTGTGTAATATTCAACAATCAAGTTTGATTCGTCTTGGAGTGTCATATCCAAGGAGTCATCGATCTGTTTTGGTGAGTCATATCCAAAGAATCACCAGAATATTAAGAGTCTTCCGCAGCTTTTGTGCAACCTAATATCCATTTTTTGTACTTTGAGATTTTTCAGGTTTTAGACTTAAAGCCTATCCAATTCTACCAACTTCAAGTGTTTATTAGTTTTTTTTTTGTCTAAAAAAGGTAAAACAATAATAGCATTCTTGTTATTATTTTGAAACTAGAGGGGTACACTGTAGTTAACTTTAAAATTTAAACTATTTTCAAAAAATTTCCTATGAGTATACGATTCTAACAATTATGTTTCTCAATGTACTGTTTTAACAAATCTCCCAATCTAATATTTTAACAAATCCCCCGAAAAAAAGTTGTCAGTTAAGGTTTTAGAGAAGATAAAAATAAAAACAAGTTTGGAAAAATTTTGATTTCCAAAATTTTGGAAAATATTTAAGTTCTTATTGCCCAATGCCTGTCACAGTTTCACAGATTGGTTCTCCTTGAAGTCTGAATGTGCGGCTTTAGCAATTTTTCACCCCTTGCGGTTTCTAAGTCATCATTCCCCGAATAGACAAATGGACGTTTTAAAAGCCAGAATGACGTAAAAGCTTTGATTGGACGTATAAGTACGAGACAATAAAGAGTCTTGATGCCTACATACATTGAAAATTTATTTAATAAAAGCTCTCAATGACTTATATTAGCTAAACGGAAAATAGATAAAGAAATACAAGAATTGTGGCACTTTATAACTAAAAAGTCGATGAAAGAAAAATTGTATGCAGTGTTTGAAGATGCAAAAAAACTCCGAAAATTATGGTGGTAACAAGGTCAAAAACCTTAAAAAACTCATGGACGTAAAAAAATCTCCAAGAAAGTCTCTGAGCTCTCAATTTCTTTTAATTAAATAAGAAAAGCATTCTATAATATAGGAAAATAATAGAAAACTATTTTTGGTAAGAGCAAGCCTAAACTTTGCCAGCTAACTCCCTCAAAGACAAGAAAACATGTCACCCTTTTCTTTTGAACCCGCAAAAACGATGTCCAAACTTTTAAACAATAAACACAATCCGAGCAAAACAACATTCACAGAGAAAGAGACTGCATTATATATCATCATTACCAACATCATCTTTGTGATAAGATTCTTCATTAAGAACACGACAACAACAACAACAAAGAACAGCAGCCGTTCTCTTCTCCTTAACCCATGACTGCTGTTCTATTTCTCTGCTTCTTCCTCCTCTGTTTCTCCTTCACCCCTTCCCTGCAACACGTCAGCGAATCCGAGCCGCTTGTGCGTTTCAAGACTTCCGTAAATATAACCAAAGGGGATTTAAATTCATGGAGAACTGGAACCGATCCTTGCAATGGCAAATGGTTTGGGATATATTGCCAAAAGGGTCAAACTGTCTCCGGCATTCACGTCACTCGGCTTGGTCTCTCCGGGATCATTGACGTGGAGAATTTAAAGGATCTCCCAAACCTAAGGACAATAAGGCTCGACAATAATCTTCTTTCAGGCCCGCTCCCTCCTTTCTTCAAGCTTCATGGCCTCAAATCGCTCTTATTGTCAAACAACAGCTTTTCGGGAGAGATTGCTGATGATTTCTTTAAGGACACGCCACAGCTCAAGCGGGTGTTTTTCGATAACAATCGTTTCACCGGGAGAATTCCCACCTCTGTGATGCAGCTCGCAGGTCTCGAGGAGCTGCACTTGCAAGGCAACGAATTCTCTGGGGAGATCCCTTCGCTTACAGATAGCAACAAGATTTTAAAATCCCTCGACCTCTCCAACAATAACCTGGAAGGAGAGATCCCAAAGAGCATAGGAGAACGAAAGAATCTACAGATGAACTTCCAAGGGAACGAAAAGCTTTGTGGGCAGCCGCTGAATATCAAATGCGATCATAAACCATCATCCACAGGGTCAGGGAAAGACCCAAATGAGGTGACGGGGAAAGCCATCTTTATGGTCATCTTCTTTCTTTTAGTATTTTTGATCGTGGTGGCAATTATAACAAGATGGAAGAAGAAGCGGCAACCCGAGTTCCGGATGCTCGGCAAGGACCACTTAAGCGACCATGAAAGCGTGGAAGTGCGTGTCCCAGATTCAATAAAAAAGCCTATTGAGTCTAGCAAGAAGCGGAGTACCACGGATGGTTCTTCCAAGAAAGGTTCAACGCATCATGGGAAAGGTGGAGCAGGTAACCCTGGAGGAGGTGGCATGGGAGACATTATAATGGTGAACAGCGAGAAAGGCTCATTTGGTTTACCCGATCTTATGAAGGCTGCGGCTGAGGTGCTAGGTAACGGTAGCCTTGGATCAGCCTATAAGGCGGTGATGGCCAACGGATTATCCGTGGTTGTAAAGAGAATTAGGGATATGAACAAGCTCGCACGTGACGCATTTGATGTTGAGCTGCAACGGTTTGGGAAATTACGACACCCTAATGTTCTTACCCCGTTAGCATATCATTACCGTCGCGAAGAAAAGCTTGTCGTCTCCGAATACATGCCTAAAAGCAGTCTCCTCTACGTTTTGCACGGTACCACACAATGTTTTTGTTTTTCACTATTGATTAAAAAGATAAAAATTTATAAGTTTGCTTTTACAATACACAACATTATTGGTCGAAAATGCTAAAATGTTGTTGTTATAATTTGAAATATAACATCACAAAACACAACAAAACAACTGGGCTAATATTGATCTATAGGGACCATTTTAAATATCCACTGTTTTTTTTATAATAATTTTTGAATTTCAGGAGATCGAGGGATTTATCATTCTGAGTTAACTTGGCCAACAAGATTGAAGATCATACAAGGTGTTGCTCGCGGAATGCAATTCTTGCACGAGGAATTTGCATCATATGAGCTTCCGCATGGAAATCTCAAATCTAGCAACGTTCTATTAAGCGAAACCTATGAGCCTTTGATAAGTGATTACGCATTCCTCCCCCTTCTCCAGTCTAACAACGCCTCACAGGCTTTGTTCGCATTTAAATCCCCCGAGTTTGCTCAAAAACAGCAGGTTTCACCAAAATCAGATGTGTATTGCCTCGGAATCATCCTTCTTGAGGTTTTGACGGGAAAATTCCCTTCTCAGTACCTAAACAACGGAAAAGGCGGGACAGATATCGTTGAATGGGTGCAATCTTCTTTCGCACAACACAAAGAAGAAGAGCTTATCGATCCAGAGATAGCGAGTAATACTAATTCGTTACAACAGATGGTGGAATTACTGCGGATCGGGGCTACTTGTATTGCAAGTAATCCAGACGAGAGAGAAAACATGAAGGAAACTGTTAGGAGGATAGAAGGAATAACCATTTGATGGGATTAAAAAAAAAAACAAAAGGCCTTTGGAATCTGTAGATAAACAAACATAAGAGAAAAAAGGTATGTTACATACATAGGAGTGAAAGAACAAGAACATATTTATTAGTAACCAAAATAATCGTTTTCTCCTTTTTGTGTTCATTAGGAAGAAGCGAAGAGAAAACCAATTTTCTTCTTTTTGTTGTTTCATAGAATTTGCTCTATTATTGATTTTTTTTTTCCTTTTCCCTTTTTTTGTTTCAGAAGACTGTAAAATCATATTACTAGTTGAATTTTCTCAAGGAACTTCTGATGTAAGTATAAATCCATGTTCTGTGTTTAATAAGATGGATTTTTACGCCAAAAAAAACTATGAAATCATATTATATTGTTTCATGTATTTCAAAATTAAATATCTGAAAATATTTTATTGATGTATTATCCTAGAGATTTAATCATCGTGAAATATATATTGAGATATACATAATTTACCTAAGTTGTTTTTGTTTGTTGCAACCAATCTTACCGTTTTGGTTTGGAGAACTAATGTTTTATCTTTTATTACAAAAAAAATTCTGAAAATTATCTATCTATATACTATTATTTGCAAAGTGAAACATCTGATGTGTCATTTAGAACGGTTTATTTTAAGTTATTTTAAATACATCATCAGATAAGAACCAATAAAAAAATGACACATAATTAGTAAATGGGGTAAAAAAAATTTTTGCAACCGAAACTTATTCTGGAGTTGATACGTAAGCAAAACACTGTAAAAATCGCTGTGAGCGCGACACGTAAACAAATCATTACACAAATAAATATATAGATAGATAGATTATTTAGTGTTTAACTTAATGTGTTATTTGTTTTATGATATCTGTGTCGTCTTCTCACTGATTCCGTGAACGACCCATGGCATGTCAGTAGGTGTTTGAGGGTTAGTTATCTTGAATTTTATTTGTGATCTGTGTTTAATTTTATATCTATTCTATTGACAGTATTAATTTTTTTATTTAACGTGATATAGATTGGAGTTCGGCATTTCATATATCACTTTTCAACCAAAAATGTTTGCTCTTGGAAGGTATTTTATTATACTGATTATATTTTTGTATACTTTTGATGTTAAAACGATGACAATAAATTAATACTAACGTGTAATAATCCTAAAAATATTTTGAGCATAGGGATTCATTGTTTGATTTTCCGATAACCTTCGTTTGAGATTAATGGCCAAATCCGGGATCGTGGCTCCCAAATATACGATATTAGATATTTTAAATAATTACTTTTATATTGTATAAAATATGTTTCTTTATATTTTTATTCCTTTTTATTGTTTTATTCTGATCTTGGTATGATTTGTTGACAAAAATATTTGTAGTTTTGGCCTGTAGAACATCTGATGATAGTGATACGCTTTTTGGACGTGGTACTGATGATGACTACATGTTTAAAGATGACACTGAATCGGATAATGAACGTTATGATGAATCTGATAGTGATGATGATATGGGTGGTGATGATGGTTTTATTGACAATGGTGATGGTTCTGATGGTTCTGATGGATCAGATGATGATTTAGATGATGATAATGATGAAAAATGAGGATGAATTTAAATCTAACAATGATGAGATGGTTCCGAACGCGAGGAAATTTTGAAGAAGATATTGATGACGAGGTAGTTCAAATGAGATTCTTGATGGTTCTGTACATTGTGGTGGATGGGACCTGAGTCCTTCGAAACCCGGCTGTAGTCTGTTTGTCAAGCTTCTACAAATATGGACACAATTGTCAACATCAAATATTCATTCTTTAGAAGCTATTCTGTCCGATGAAAAGGTGGTTTACTATCTCTCTGATCTTTAGTAATTTCATTGTTTTAGTCTTTTTATAATATTTAAATAGATTTAATATAGGTAATATTCATAAATAATCATTTATTCATCATGTTTCATTTCTCCTCTTTTTTTTGTTAGGGTGAGAAGTTTCAGGCTTGTATTAGAGGTGATCAATTTTGTCTACTAGGGTCATGTTTAGTTGTGGGAAGCTGGGTTGTTATAAGTTCTTTCGAAGTTGTTGATCAGGTTGGTTAATGTCGTGCAACTTCACATCGACATATGATAATGTCTCTACCGTCAACCACTATTGATAAAGCCTTACGACTGTGTGAAAATCACTATTTTGATTTTGTTGATTTTCGTTAAGTCTTGGATCGTGTGCATGACGATGATAATTTATTTAATTTGTTCTTATCCATGTCTTTCTTATATTGTAGATTTTGATTTTATGTTTACTATCAACGTAATTTATTTGTTTGCTAACTTCTTTATGTTTAGCCTTGATAGGTTGTGTTGTAGAATTACGACGTTATGATACATGGTGTGGATTGTGTGAGACAAAACTCGCACAATCAAAATTTGTTAAGTAATTTAAGAGATCAGAAATCTTTAGGGTTTTCTAGAAAAAATTCAAGATCAAAAGAAAGTTTTTTGCTGTGAAAGTGTGTGAATCTTATTGTTTTGGGGTTATAAAACTTACATAATGAATTGTGTACATCGACTATTTATACAGAGTCTATAAACCGTCTAGCCGAGAATCTCGGGAATGATTTTCAGAAAACTTCCTTATCTCTTCGCGCGGCCGCTGCCTTAGACTTTTACCTAGCCGAGGATGTTGTACTTACTTCGATTGGCTTTGCATCTCCATCTTGGCTCTCTTGGTCCTCGAGTTGGCCCGCATGATTTGGCTGGGCTCAGGCTCGGTCCAACGTGGTCCGGCTTGGCCCAACATGGTCCGGCTTGGCCCAACGTGGTCCGGCTCGGCCCAACGTGGTCCGGCTCGGCCCAACGTGGTCCGGCTCGGCCCAACGTGGTCCGGCTCGGCCCAACGTGGTCCGGCTTGGTCCAATCTCCCTCTTGGTACGGCTAGGCCCAATCTTTCTTTTGGCGCAGTTGCCGTCTTGGATCTTTCGCCTAGGGTCGAATGCTTAGCTTGCTTAATGGACATCACATATTCCTTTCACTAAGGTCTGGCCCGAGTTCCTTAGGCTTGGTCGACATAAATCCGTCGGCCTTGGGCTCGGCCCAACTCTTCCTTCAGGCCTATCACAGCTCAGCTAGGTTTGGTTTGACGTCTGCATTGGGCGAGCCGCACTGCGGCTCGGCTCGGTTTTTCTGTAGCTCCTAACTCCGCTTGTCTGGTTCTGTTCGACCGGTGAGTTATGGTCCAATATGCCCCATCCGAGACCTAGTTGTTTTTGGACAGCTAAACTGGTCAAGGTGAAATCTGACCTTAACCTTTAGCCCCCCAGCTCGTCAGTTTCAGAGAAGATGGTGAGGCGACAGTGCTGGACCAAGGTTAGTTGTCGGATTTGCTTTTTATCTTGCCCGCTCTGCCTCATCTATGATGACCCGTGGCACAGTGAACTTTTCTTTCTTGTGACCGAGCTGACTATAGTGCCGAGCTGTGATGAAAAGGTACGGTCTCCAAGTTGGACTTTTGAAGGAAAGTTCACGATAAGGCATATGTTGGAAATTTAATACTGAAGCAAATATTAGAAGGTTAACATCAAAGCGTGTTTGAAAGAGTTTATTCTGAAGCATGTTAGAAAGAGTTTACGCCAATGTGACACGTTGTTGGACTTAATAGGAAAAGTGACCATTACGGGTTTCACACACCACTATTAGGATTTTTTGCTATTTACAAGCCTCTTTCATTGATTAGTTGAAAAGTGTCGAGCAAAAATGATGTCGAGTTCTCTAACTGTTATTGCCATCAAGACAAGATGGTATTGGAGAAATGTTGAAGAGATACCAAGCCAACAAGGCGAAGGGATGTCGAGCCGACGAGGTGAGATGATGCCTAGGCGACAAGGCAGAATAGTGCCTAGACAGTAAGGCGAGGTGATGCCTAGTCGACGAGCCAAGATGATGGCTAAGTGTCGAGGCGAGATGATGCCTAGGTGACGAGCTGAGATAATGCCTAGGTGACAAGGTGAGGTGATGTTTACATGACCATCCGAGATAATGCCTAGGAGACAAGGCAGGGTGATGCGTAGTCGACGAGCTTAGAAGATGGCTAGGCGTCAAGGCGAGATAATGCCTAGCCGACGAGCAGAGATAACGCCTAGGCGACAAGGTGGGGTGATGTGATAACACCGTATTTGTACCCATTTTCATGTTTTCTTATGCTATTTTAAAGTTTTTAACTAGTTTCAAGTTATTTTATCATGGTTTTCCTATATTTGTGGTTTCAAGATTTTTTTCAGGTTACTTAGACAAAAACAATGCAAATTGGAGAAAAATCCACTTTTGACCAATTTCAGACTGTCAGAAGTTTCACATCATATGAAAACCTTCTCACCGTCTGATCAAACTCAAATTTGGACACCAGATAGAGGATACTACCGGCTTCTAATGCAATTAGATTGGCGGCAATCCAACGTTTGGATCATAAGTTACACCCAAGTTACTAAAGACATGTTCTGCAGTCTCACAAAAGAAGCAAGAGAAGGCTATTCAAGCAGAGCCAGACTTAACCGAGCCAAAACTACAAGATGTCGAAGTACCAGTCATTCATGAAGGCCCAATAACAAGATAAAGAGCTAAGACTCTTCAACACAAGTACAAACAGGGCATGTTGCAAGCAATGTCTCAAGTGGATCAATAGAGGCCGAGAGGAGACCATGAGCATGTGGAGGCGCATAATGAAGCCCATCAACAACAAGCTTTGACCGGATTACTTGAAGAATGTCAAGAGCTAGCAAACGGCCCAACTTCAAAGAATCAAGATGTATGGCCCCTATTCCCAAATCAACCCCAAGTCTTCATGCTATCTATCTCGCCAATGCACCAAGACACTTAGGAGGGAAGATTCAAACTCAGTCAAAACCACACATGTCTCGGCCACCAAATAAGGTAAATGATCAATCAAGTTTAAATCCTTTGACTAACGAGTTTTCTTGTCTTTGATCTTATGCAAGGACAATTTAGTTTAGTATTTTATTTCCT